CATACCTTTCTGACTCTATGAACTTCAATGCATTTTACCTTGTTCCAGAATGATGATACAACTAGGACCCAGTAGTGTCTCAGTGCTCCATCTACTGTTTAGGGGTGACTTTTATGTGCTAGATGAGGTAGATTCTAGAGCAAATAGTGGAGGAAAAGCACTCACATTGTTAAAATGCTGGATTCAGGCAAACATGAAATGCCTAGCTCAGTGCCTGGCCCACAATAAGTGATTGACAAGTTCCACTGCCTCCTTCTGTGAGCTGTTCATTGTTTCTGAAGAATTTAAAAACTGGGAACTCAGCTGTCATGAAACCTAGAAAACACAAAGCAAATTTCCAGATCCTCTTACATGTTGTGGGAGGTGCTGACAAGATTGGTTTTGCCCATGGCTTAGAGGGAAAAAAAATGTTGAAGAGGAGACACCCTGGTTTCCTAGGTTGTTTCATGTCAACAGAAATCCATTTACAGTGTTCGAAGGCAAGGAAGCTTATTGCTGAGATTAAACATATGCTTCCAAGGCCAATTATTTACATATTTTTGACAGAGGAAGAAAAACTAACTCAGTTTGCCATTTTGGAAAATCAGTTGATTTTTGAAGAGAAAATCTGTTGTGTCATATTTTTTTTTAAATGAAGTGCTTCTTGCACGGGATGCCCTTTTCTGAAAAAAAAAAAAAATATGTCACTGCTGGTGCCTTCATTATTTGTTCCAAAAAATGCAGCTCAAAGTTCCTATTAATAATAATAATTTTTTAAAAAACATCCTATAGGTAGTCATTATTACAAAAGATGACAAGTTTTCCTCCCTACATAAATAAACGCCTATGATTCACATGTAAAAACCAATGTGCTAATTCTGAGGTCAGGAAATAGAGTCTATTTTCATATTGTGTTGGTATAAAGACTATAACATTTATGAAAATAATTTTCCATGGTACAATTAATAGTAATTGCCTCCTTAAATTTACTGTTAAAAGCTATTCATGTTGGAGTTTCAATGGAAAGCATTTAGCAAAATGCTGGTAGACATTTCTTTGGTAGATTTAATATCATTCTTAAAATAAATAGAGGATGTTTTACTTGGTTGTATTTCAGCCAAAGGGTACTTGGGAGCAGGACTCTCCCTGTCAGTCTCGTGCCAGTGGGGAAAGTACAGACCATGGAAAGGGGGTCACTCCACAGGCCAGTGTCACTATCTGAGCCACTCATTGACTACCCTAATGGGGTCTGGAAAGAAGATACCATGGTAGAATCATGGCGTGCAGCAAAGCAGAAATGTATCAGAAAGCAGGATTAGAAGATATTTCGGAATATTTTGCTTTCTGCTCTACTTCCAACAACCTGAACTGTAAAATGTTGCATATTTCCAGATATAATTGATTTCCATCATCTGAAACGAGTAATGACTAGATTTTACTTTTGGAGGAAAAGCTTTAAGTGTTAATTCTATTTTGCAATTGACTGATACTACTTTCGAGAACCAGTCATCTCCTAAGAACTGTAGGTGCAGAGAGAGTTAGTAAACTGCTGGGCCAGGATAGATATGGATGCTTAATCCATTCAGGGTAAAGGAAACAGAAGGAAAACACATCCTTTTACTGGAAACCACAACCAATCAAGAAATTTGCATTGTTCCTGGAATGGAAAAAGGAAAGAGACACTCTACTGTTTTATTCTTTGTTTTCTTGGTATTTGTTAAGTTAATATGTTTACTCAGTTGCCTACTCTCATAGGCTGAGAAATATTCAAGTTTCCTGTTAGATTGTGCTAATAAGTCTCTTGCATCTGCCTTTGTCCTTTTGTTTTTCCTAATTAAGGGAATTGTGTGTGTGTGTGTGTGTGTGTTCCCACTTTTATTTAAAATTCTTTCCTAATCTAACAGCATTGGAAACATCTATGAAAATGATTGACTTTTCCCATACAGCTGGGAAAATTTCCAGGTAAGAACTGCTCTGTCATATAAGACCTGCTGGATGATAACAGTATGTGGAAGATCTTTGTATCACATTTAGAATAATCAAGCATCCCATTAAGGCTGAAATTTTCAGCAAAATTCCCAAAGCTTTCTTGCAATGTGTATGACTCTATTAGGAATCAGCTTGGTTCTTAGGTGGTATTTGATTAAGCTATGCAATTACAACTATTGAAAATTTCATAACATTAATTTTTGGTTATTTATCACAAAATAACTTATTTTTTGGTTCAAGTTGTATGTAATACTAATTACTGTGTATTTTGAATTTAGACGTAATAACCAGGCAAAATTTATAGGTAAACGTGTAATTATTTTTAATACGTCTAGCTTTACTTTAGGAAAAGAAAACTATTTAAAAATAATAAATATGCCCATGACTATTACATTTAGCCAGTGATTAAACTGTGTGTCCCATAATTATGAGGTATGAGCTATATCATATCAATTAGTGGTCACATTAAAATGATCATATTTCCCTAATTTTCATAATTACATGCATCATTTCTTTAAAAGTATTTTGATTGGTTAAATAAAAATAATTGAAATTCAATATAGAAATGTATTCAATATAATAAATTTGATGTAATATAGGCAAGTAACTTGTTTGTAAAGTTGCCACAAGGTTGCTAATGTTTTGACTTCATGGATTTTGCATATTCTAGATTCTCCAATATAATCTTTTATGGATCAGATGAATATCATTTTAGCCATTCACGTCTAAGATAATTTTTGAACTATGGAAACCCTGAACACAATAACTGATGATAAAGTTTCAGGCAGGGGTTAATTCTTCAATCAATACCTCAGGTTTTATGTTTTAGGGAACTTAATGATAAGCTCTCAGCACAAAAGCAGTTATTGTCTGGGTGTTTGATGTCATACATAGAACTAATGTAACTTTATATTTTATCTCACAACACTAGAAAACGCCATCACAGACCATTTTGTTTTCTGCACATGTAGTTTAGTATGTTGAATAACTGCTACTTCTGGTCTGGGATTGCTGTAGGTGGTAACATAACTCTATTTCTTCTACATATATGAACAGATCCAATAGCAATCAACTGTTTTCTGACCTGGCTTCCCAAATATGGTAGATGCCTAGCCCATGATTCTTTGCTGGTACTGCACAAGATGAAATGCTAGGTGAGTTAGCAGTTTAAGCTGTCTCTTAGCTTTGACAAAGTACTTTTTGGTGAGGAATTTAGCCTGGCATCCTTTCAGGGAAGTGAAGAGGGAAAGCCTGTATGGAATTTTGGTCCCTAGAAGCATTTGGTTGGGTTCTGTTTGCGTCTTCGGAATGGTGCTTTCATTTACAAGTTAGCAAAGCAAAGGTAAGACCCTGTCTGCTGCTTTATTCATTGATGTGAAGTCACTGTGATTTTTAAAGTGTTTTTTTTTTAAATATATATCAAGGTGAGAACCTAAAGAGGTACATTGCTTTTTTAATAAACAGACCAAATAGAATAGTGACATTGGTAATGATAAAATGGCTTTTTAAAATGAGTTTAAAGATTTGATTTTAGAGTACAAAATTGGTTCTGATGAGTATTGAAACAAATATTTGCATCAAGCTACAGTATGGTATTGGCAAGATATACCTATTATTCCTTAGAAGGGATGCGTTCTTCAAAGATTCTTGAAATTAGCATTCGAACTAAGCCATTGATCTTGTGGGTGACCTGATTTAGCTGCCTAAAACATGGTATCTTAACTCAAACTCCACTTTCTCGGTGTTAACAGTTTGTCACGCATCGATTCTGAGTGTACTAGAGTTTGAATTTTTTTAAAGCATAGGCTGCAAAGAAAGTTCCAGATTAAGCGAATCTTTTATCAAGAATCACTTAAAAATGTTAATGCTGCAATATTATCTGGGTCACATCCAAAGAATTGAAACCTTCGCAGAATTGTCAGCCAGGCTTTCATTGTTAAGCTGATAATAGCTAACACGTTTGCTCTTTCTCTCTTTTAGTGAAAAGTCTACTATTTTTTTTTTTAATCTTCCCCAGACCTGTTAGTAGGTAGGTTCAGTAGGAAGAAAAGTATCCGTTCCCCCAAGTTTCGGGGCCTCAAAAAACTATTGGAAAAGTGTAAAAGATAACGTGTAACTACTCCCCAAAGATCTTAATTGGGGAGGTACTGGCGGGGAGGACTTGTGTGTGTTGACAGAGGCTCCCACAGCTGTTTATTCAGATAGCATGGGGCGCGTCATTTACATAATAAATTTTTTTTTTTTTTTAAAGGAGCAAGGTTGAGTCAGACCGCTCAGTGCTCCACACAATTGTTGCATTTAAACCAATAAGGTTAGGACAAGAGAATAGCTGTGGTTTGCGTTGCAAAAACAAAACAAAACAAAAAGCCCCGAGGCTTCATGGGCAGACCTACAAGGCTGCGCAAACAAATGGAGGGATGAGATCGCTGCGTTTCTTTGTCTGGGCTTCTCAGATGCTATCTGCCGCTGCCGTGCGCAGGGGCGCAAAGCGGTTCCCAAAGAGATCCCGGCGAGCCGATGGCTCCGGGCTTGGGGCGAGGTAGAGAGTGTGCTGTGCCACTTCCGACTGGAAGCCTTCCTGTGGCGGTGCGCGCCGACAGGGTCCTTCCTGGGGAAGGCGATCGCGCTCAGTTGCTCGGCAGCTCCAGCCTGCAGCGGAGCCCGGGCTCCATCCCTCGGAGCCTGCCAGTCCCCGGCCTCCGCGCTGCGCTGCCCGCCGCACCGCCGCGCCGCTGAGAGCGCCCAGCCCTCCAGTCCCTGCCCCGCAGCCAAACTATGTCAGGAATGGAGGGCTGCTAACCCCGAAAACTCCAAGGAGCACACGAAAGTGGTGGACGCAGATGTGAGCGCTGTAAGTACAAGCTGCTGGAAAAGTTGTAGTGACTGAGAACAGCTGTCCGGTGGGCGAAGCCCGAGATAACAGGAGCGTTTTTATTGTTTTGTTTTTAAAGAAAAAAACAAAAACAAAAACATTGTGGTATGGGAGAAAAGATGACACTTGGTACCTAGGACTTTATTAGCCACAGAGTTCCGTCGTAAAAGTATAATTCTTAACCTCCAAATGATGGGAGCGATTAGGATCATTAGGAGGTAATTGCAAATTAATTGTTAACAATTACTTTTGTTAAGGTCGGTGTAAATAGGGATGACACAGAGCAATATTCTTGGAGGGAGATGGCTTCATATAGCTTCTGGAATTGCTGCACAGCCTCCAAATATTGTGTAAAACTGAGCAGAGCGTTGCATCTCTATGTAGATGTATAGATATATACACATGTATAGTGGCATCTATAACCCACAGATGACTTTTTCTACCACTGAGTTGATCTGAAAAAACGCGGAAAGGTTACCACCTGAAAGACAACGGATTAACAATAACCACTTTTAAAGGAAGAGATCCCTTTTCTTCGGTAAACAAATTTTCCAAATGTTATATTAAACAAGCTCATCTTCAAAATATGGTACAATAAGCATTTGTCCAGTTAATGTGTGTCCCTTTCTGACCTTGAAGTTTAACTCCAGGTTCTTAAACTTTTGAATTTTTCCTTTAAATGATTGCCATTCAAAATCAGTATCTGAATTGCTGATGACTAGTGGGCTTGCATTCTTGGGGGAGTTTTGAACACATTTAAGCATAGCAGTTTCAAGAATTCAATAAATTCTGAACTGTCACTGAGTTTACACAAGTGTTTCTAAGTTTTATTTCTTCAGATGGTCAGGGGTACAAAAACTTGGTAGTTTAGTACTTGGCATAGTTTTATAGGTCTGGGGCTGGTTTTCTAATGTGTCTTTTCAGAGGCTTTATTTTATGCTTGTATGAGTCTTTTACCCTCTCTCCTTGGGGTTTGGGGACACACACACATGAATAGCCATGCTTTTATATGATCAAACATTTGATGTTTGACTTTCCCGATGCTTGAGTTCTCCTAAGGCCCAAAGTGTTTAATAAGTGAGCAAGCAGCCATGGATTTCAGCCTTTGAAAACTCTTCTCGGTGACAGACATAGGAGTCTAATTGAGCCACTGTTCAGCCTTAAAGTGCCAAATGCAGTCAACTGCTCTGTTAGTTTCACAGCCATGATAAATGATTTTCTCTAAAGAAAATTTCCATTTGAGTGTGAAAATGTATTTCCTAAGAATACCCTGGAAAGAAGGGAAGTACTTGCAGTGGGAATAAAATCTTTTATCATATATAAAAAGTATTCCAGAAACATTGCCAATAAACACTAATTTTGAAAACAGTCGTTTCTCTTTAAAGCTGTAGGTAGAAATGATGTGGTTTAAATACTTGTTTGTTTTTGGTTTCATAAGGATTGAATCATTTTCTTTAAAGGAGATAATGCGAAAAGCAATAAAGGATATTGCATTAAGATAATCATCAATAGCATCTGAGCATTTGGTTTATGGAGCCTTTGATAAAGAAAGAAACGGAGTGTTAACATTTGAAAAATATCTTATCCCTAGGAGCTCTTTTCTACTTTAAGGTTAGGTTTTTTTGCTCTAAAAACTTTGGGTTTTTATTACAACACTGAGAGGTAGAAATGTGGCTGGAGGAGGGATTTTTCACAAGAATATATTCTCCTTAAAAAGCACATTTATGGCGAAGGCATTTTTCCCCCTATAAAATACATTGTGATTAGAAAATTACCATTGTCTTTCATATTGGGGAGCACTCAGGTTGATCTGTGTTGGACAAAACTAGCTTGCCTGCCAGTTCTATTTAGATAACTTCAGTACTTTCACTTTGAAATTTTTTTTTCAGTTTGAAAAGAAAAAAAGTTTTAAAATTATAGTCATTTTATAAAAATTGCTTCTAGCAAAGCAAGAAGCCTATGGAAAAGCCATAATTTAGACAAGTACCTACATTTTATTTTCTCTGTGCTGCTGAGATTTAGAATCCCTTTCCATTTACAGTTTACTTTTCACAGAACATTATTAACTTTTTGGCTTCATACATGATCTTCTGTCAGATGCTTTTGATTTGTAATTTAGCAAAGTATAATAAACAGTGCAAAAGTCATGAATTTTGCTCTGTATCCTGAGCTCTGTGGTAGGGAAAATGTGATAAAATGTGTACCTTAAGTCTTGTTTGATGATCTCTCAAAGCACGTTTGCCTTCTGGAAATAATTTCTGGGGTTGAAGAGCATGGTATTAACAGATTTAATGTGGCTATTCAATGGATTGGCGAAGTACTATGTGAGGTTTAACAAAATGAGAGAGACAAATTGAACATCAACAAAAGTTACATCTGTGAAGAATTATAAATTTAATTAGAAAAAAAGGCAAACTTAAAAGACCTCATTAACTAATCAGAAGTCAAAGTTACTAGTGTAGGATTCTTGAATTTAAGTTCTAAGGAGTTCTGTTATCTTTTTTCCTCTTTGTGTTTTCACAAGCCTGTCAGAATGCTGCTGCTGCTGCCATGCGGATTCCACACAGTTTTTAGAAAGCCTTAAAGTGAAATGGCTTCATTGTCCTATAAGGTGACCATTCATAATGCAATAAGAAATACTTTTTGCACTTCTAGGGGTGTTTGGATTAAAATACTAGATTAGGAGAAGACAAGAAATATATTAAGTTTACAGTTAAAGACAAAAAAAAAAAAAAAGTAAATTTACTGAATGCCTAACAGCATTTTTCTGGAAACCATGATTTTCCTCCCCCTTTTGAATGTAAATATCCTTCATTAATTAGTTTTGAAACCCACTGTGGTTTTAGACCTTTAAAATACAAAAATCTCCCAGAGACATTATCAAGTGTGAGAGGAAAGCAGCAGCCATCAGAAATAGGTGTTCTTTTTAGATAAGTCATTAGATGAACATGTTTCCCTCTTGCACTGTAATCTTGTACTACACATAAAAAACTGAAAGCATGTGAAGTGTAGCATTTTGTAAACTGTAACTAATTTCACTCACATCTGTGTCTAATTGTTGTCTGCATTCGCATTCTTGAGAGTAGATTTATTTTTCCTGGACCACGATGTGGATTCAGCTGACCAGCCTAAGTGAGGATTAGTTGTTTTAAAGTTATTTTGATTAAAGAGTCATTTTTAAATACAGTAACATACAACACATGGTTTAAATAATCCTTGAGACACAAAAGAATATATCTGAAGTACACTTAATGAAAGGAAGATCATAGATAGGGGCTCTCAAAAACTGTGCTGTGTTAAAGCGCAGTGGAAGCTAAGTTGCCAGTATAAAAGAAATATGTTGTTAAGATGTGTTTTGTTTTTTTTTTACAATACGGAAATGTGTTAGAATAATTCTTTTTTGGAAGTTCATTATTTTTTTTTCAAGTTTGATTTTTCAAAAATTGAGATATGATAGGCTAAACCTCAAATATAACTCTAAGCTTTCAAGGGGACATAATGAAATAGAAATGATAATTTCAAGATCATGCTTTCTAACTGATGTGAAAATAGAAATATATCTTACTATTTAACGCTAAGTATGCTTCACATACTCTCTCACGTAATAGCTGAGAGAGTTCTTAAAACTTAGTTCTCACCTATAATTTATTCCAGGTGTATAAAAGGGAGTAAGAATTTTATCCTTGAGATTGGTTGAAGTTTCTAAAGGAAACTATTTAATCTTATGTGAGAATATTAATTTTAACAAAAATTGCAGAAACCTGTTATTGCAGAATGAACATGTTGCTGGCATTAAAGTTAAATTTCCACTTAATATTCAAGGGTCTTAAAAATTGTTTTTGTCTTGCACATAAGAAATGTATAACTAGAAATTTCATGTAACATTATCCAAAGTCATTTAGACCTTAATGATGCATTAATTCTTGCTAGAAAGGTAGTGTTTCTTAATTTCATAAATCATAATTAAAAAATAGAAGGACTCAAAAGATTTTTGAGTGGATAACTTTAATGTCATTCGAGACTCTTCAGTCCCCATCTTTGTTCTGTAGCTCTAACTGATGTCAGTTCAGGTTGAATGAAAATGCACATCAAAGATTTGGAATTCTGAGCCATTTTAAACGTTAGACAAAATGCTCCTTCCTGCCTTCCCAAACATTGGTGGGCACTTGCAAGTGGTCAGCTGCCTGGCGCACCTGAGCGTTATCACCTGCTGGTAGTTAGCACTGACTCCAGACAAGAACAGACTGTTAAAACTTCAGGTTAGTGAAGTGTTCAGTCCTAAATCCAAAGTTATCTTGAAACATAAGAAACAGCATGCTGACTGATGGAATAGTGAACTGATTTACTTAATAATTCTGTGTTCTTCAGTCTAAAAGATGGGAAACACACATACACACTCACACTCACACACGGAGTTACATTTTGTCTGTTGCCGGTCATAGCTGCATAAATACTCATTGGGTTTTAATTTGGCATGGTTAAACAAGCACATTGCTGAGCAATGGGACTTTGGGTATGAAAATTTGCCTTTGCCATGTATCCTGAGCCCAACCTTGCAGGAGGGCAGCCTTGGAGCTGTGTCATTGAATGTTAAATGACAAATAGTAAGTGTGGGAGAAAACCATCCTGATAAGGATAGGAAACTGTCAGGAGTCTAAGGGGTGGGCGGGAGCTTTAGTTCAGCTGCTGAGAGCAGAAGATGAAAGATCTAAGGATGCTGGGGGATTATTGCTTCAACTACTGCTGTTAAACACACTCGTTTTGTTAATAGCTTTTTTTTCTTCCCAAGCACCTTTTCCAAGCTGCCTGGACAAGGCTGCTTTGCATGTTGATTGGGGGAGGGGTAATCCCGTTTGCAGCTGTCATAGGCTAGTGATGAATCACTAGCCCGTCATTTGACTGCCTCTCCAACCCCAAGGGGAGGAGGAGGATAGACCTGCAGGAGGAAACGGCAGTTGAGACCTCCACTTAAAGACACTATGCTTTTCCCGACAGCAGTATCCTCCTTTTTCTCTTTTGGTTAAAAGTGAGCATTGTGGGACTCAACCCATGTGCTGTGTATAATTACTAGCTGACACTGAAGCCCAGTTAACAAGAGCTTCTAACTTTTTACCCCTGACCACAGGTGCAAACATCTCACACCAGTTCAGATGTTGCTGTTTCCTCGGGTTGCAGGTAAGGATGTTGTTGATATTCAACATTTTTGTAGCTTACCTTTCTGTGACCCGGATCTATTTTTGTCTAGTATTTCTTAATTATTTCTATTAATAGCAACAGCCTCGGTTGGAAATTACACAACAGTGTGTGTGTGTGTGTGTGTGTGTGTGTGTGTGCTTTTAAAAAATGTTAAGTTTCTATGAAAGCAGTGATAACCTTGGTTTGAAAACCAGGATGGACTATCATTTTCTGATGTTAGGAAAACTGCAAATGTGTGATGAGATTTAGGACAGAATAACCGGATATGAAATCATTTCTTATTTGAATTTAGATTCTTAAGGAAGTAAAGGCTCACCTCATAAGTAAAATGGCTCATATGAAGCTGTATTAAAAACTAATACTCAAAGTTAATTTCAGTGCAGCCTCTAAATTAAAATGACTGTGCCCATTATGGAGTGGAGTGAGGGGCAAATACTACTAGCTTTATATGTGTAATTTTAAATTTCTTCTTCCTGTATTGTTATTCTTTTAGAAAAATAATATAGAGTTTAAAATATAGTGAGTGGGCCTTAGATGTTTAAAATTTTGGCTGTTGGAAAACAGAATGGCATCTACGTGTCTAATTAGCGACTTTTCAGTAGGTCTTCTGTTCATGAATAAGTGTTAAAAATAAGAGGTATCTAGTTCTGAATTGCCAACACGAGTCGTGGCTGCTGTGCCTTACACAGTGTAAGTGTGTGCCGAATTTAAGAACTTCCAGGGAATGCTGAACTGTTCTTACATGGTGAAAATGCAAAATGATAGCATTGCATAGTATTGTCCTTTCCCCCCTAGGTGACAGCTGAGGTATTCTGAGTGCTAATGCTCCTAGGGACCCAGTGTGTATTGGTCTTATCCCTGTTCAATTGGGCAGGCTGCATGTAATCCACAAAGCGAACAAGTGAGCCGACATCATAATGTTTTAATGCTGCATTTGTTTCAAGGGAAACAGAGGAACAATTAAGGAGTATGCCAGAGTAAACACATGCACCAGGACGATCTCATTCCCTGTCACTGGGCTGGAGCTTTCAAGTGTTTTATTTGGTTTGGAGACCCATTAAATTACAATTGGGTGTTAAATTATAAGGGAGTACCCAGTGCTAACTTATTAGATGAAACAGATTACACAGAAAAGTGATTTATTTTGATTGTATTCATTCACATATCTGCCTTTTCTTTTAGGAAAATGATGCTTTGTAGGATTGCTTTTAGTATAAAAATGACTACTTTCCCCCCTCTGAATGTTAAAATAGTTGCGATTGTGTAACCTCAGCTTATGACAAAATATACAATGGGGGAGGGTTTTAAAAACTGCATGTGAATGTTTGGCTAAATAGGTAGGATGAGCGATCACTTTTAGTAATATGTGTAATGAAAGGATGACAGAAGCCAAAATGCAAGTGAACTATGTTGAGTCCAAGACAATAGATACAATGGGACTTTTGACTGAGTGTGTTTCAAAGGAGGTGTCAAGTCATTAGCGCATTAAATAGTGGTAGTATGAATTTGGTACATCTGTCAACGGGAAGGCTTCTTGTCTTTAGGTCTATGGAAATGCAGGATCTAACCAGCCCGCATAGCCGACTGAGTGGAAGTAGCGAATCTCCCAGTGGTCCCAAACTTGAGAACTCTCATATAAATAGTTCCATGACTCCCAATGGCACTGAAGGTGAGTGTCTGCCTCATTGCTCTGCCCTTGGTTTTTCATCAATATGCACCTTCCTCCGATTCATAAAACTGGTTCTTTTCCCTCTCAGTGTTTACCATTGCTTAGGAGTGAATATTACTGGATTGTAATGTTCCATAGACTATTTTATATAGATGCATATATACATATATGCACACATATATCTTAGATGAATGTATATACATAATATTTTCAATCTTGGAATATATTTCTCATTGTTGATCATCATGTACCCATTACAGTATTTATTTGTATTATTTTGCTGTATGACCCGTGAAAATTTGGAATTATTTCACTTTTTTTCCATTTTGTTAGTAAATATAACCAATGAAAAAATATCAACACTGCACTGAGTCATTTCTAAAGATCAAGAAAATCATTTGTGTGTTTGGTATTGATGTGGCCTTGACCACTAAAAAGAAGGAAAACTTAATGTCTACAAAATATGCAACCTTATTTGGCAGGTATGCATACAATTTATTCAGTTTCTCAAACATTAAGTACTATATATTAAACAACATCATAATTATTTCTATATAATTAGCACATATGAATGTGTGTGTGAATTATATGTAAATAGAACACCTATTTAATACATATATGTTTCATTCTAAACATATACTAAACATAATACTATATTACTATCTTATGCATAGTCAGGTGCGAGTATATTTTCATAACTTTAGCATATGGAAGGGTATGTTACAAGTCACACTGTATTTTTTTCTACTGTAGACTGTTGAAAAATGTCTGTAGCACTGATATTTTTGCTTATTTATCTCTTGCTAAGACTCAGGATCTTGATAGAGTCATAAAATAAGTTTTACTAGAAGTTCAGTGGATTATCGGTATCAGAATTCCGTTCATAGACAAACCCTTAACTGTCAGTTCCCAGTCACCATGGTGATCTTTCATCACAGTTGTTGGTTTTTCTTTAAATTTTTTTAATGTAAGTAGAACTAAAATGTAAAATTATTGTCATCTTACTGCAGTATTTGAATATATATCTGTGGAAGTCTTTTGAAGCTCGCAATACTATGACATTTTGAATGGATTGAACATGAAATTCTGATGTAAAGATTCTTGATTTTTATGCTGACAGTAATCAGTTTTACGTATAACTGTTCTGTAGCTTTCTTTACAAGTAAAAGTATTCATTTCCAGGCTCTATAGAAAATGGTTGTTGTGAAAAGTAGAAACTTTAATGATTTAGCAACAAGATTAGTCTCTGAATAAAGTACATTTCATATGAAGCCTCTATCCGTTTCAATAGTCGATCAAATAAAAATTTAAATTACATAAAAGCAATTCTAGCATGTAAGCAGATTGTATAGAGCAAGTATTATAAAAGCAAGCAGTTCTGTCTCATTTTCTGTTTGGAATCTGGCTTCAGATGAAAACATGTCAGCACAGGCAGAGTGTAGAGATAGTCACACAGCCCACTGCAGGTTCTTGCTTGGATGGGTTCAGTGAATTGTCAGGATTCTAAGCAAGAAGAGACCATGGGTGCAAACCTTTAGCAGTCATTTTCTCTACTGTAAAGTTCAAATGAGATAGTCACTTAATAAGGAATAGTAAGCATTTTAAACTATTCTAATAAGTATACCAATATATGAGGAAGAATGATTACTAAGTATTGATAACTTTTTACATGATATAGTGTAATAAAAGTAAGACATTTTCAACTTCTCAATATCACTGGCTAGTCATCTACAGATAAAAGTCACCCAGTATGGAAGCAGGGTAGGTGTGAGGTAGGCTTGGCCACCCTTGGGTCATCTCGTGGGAATGAGATATGGTTGTTTTTAAAGAAAAGGTGGAGCACTAATATATTTCTGAGTATTTACATGTCACAGCTTGCTATTACATTCAGAAATATAATTTATTTTTAGGATTTTTACATGATTCAAATAAGCTTGGAATAACAAAATGTTTTAGATAACTATAATTTTTGAATAATTCAATTTGTTAATTAGAAATGATTTCATATTTTAAAAAATCTTTAATTGTACAGAGCAGGGTGGTGTGCTATAATCCCAACGCTAGGAAAGTGGTGACAGGAGGACCAGCAGTTCAAAGTGAACCTCAGCTTCAGATGTGAGTTTGAAGCCAGGATTACAGGAGATCCTGTCTCAAAGGACCAAAAAAATAAAATAATAATAAAACCAAAAATCTTAATTGTTTTAGGTCTTGGAAAGGAACTTTTCTTTCTTTCTTTTTTTTTTTTTTTTGGTCTTTTTGAGACAGGGTCTTCCTGTAGCCCCAGCTGTCCTGGAACTCACTATGTAGACCAGGCTGGCCTTGAACTCACAGAGATCCACCTGCCTCTGCCTCCCGAGTGCTGGGATTAAAGGTATGCACCACCACACCCAGCTGGAAAGGAACTTTTTAAAGTCAAATTTCAGAGGAATACATAACTCTTCATTGCATTCTGTTTTCAGGCATTCTTTATAAATGTTCTTTACAAGGGTTGTGGTAGATTCAGAAGCAAAATTAGAATGTATTAGTATAAATCAAGGCATTAAAGAAATTTTGGCCAATAAGATATATTATTCAGAGGTATTTTAGCATATAGCTTAAAATTATGGGCCCAAATGTTCTTCATGATCTGTGTTATGTGACTGTAGGTCCAAGCATAGCAAAAAGTTCGATGTTACCAAGTTCGAGAGTCAGTTTATCACGTGTCTCTTCTGTTTTATTGTGTTCTTTTCACCCTTCTCAGTCGCCACCAGAATTGTGCTTAAAATTAGTGACTTTCTTAGCATCTGGCAAGCTTCCCTGGGTTGCAGTCATTATTGATTTTCTTATTCCTTCTTTGAGATCTGATTTAGTTTGAAGCTTGAAGTGTTTACCAATAAATTTGAGGAGCAAGAAGGACAGAAGGAAATTAGTTGAAACATAAGTCTTTAAAACATCAGTCACCTCCCCAATCCCATAGCAAACACTTCAGTTATCTTTATACACACATGCACATGTACACACACACACACACACACACACACACGCACATGCACACACACACCCATATGTGTTTATACACCACAGTGGGTGTGTGTTTAAGTGACTTCCCAGCAGCCCAATTGAAAATATTCTCAGCTCAATTGAAATTAACTAGGTAAACCAAATGCCCATGTAGTTTTCAGTTGTTGGCTTTGCCTGAATTTACATGGGCTGTCTTCTCTCACCAGGAGTCTTTATTTTTATTTTTTCTTTTTTTGCTTCCTGCCACCACTTGTCCCCATAACAAGGCTAAGAAAACAGAAAATCTTCTCTATCAAAAACCATAGCTTCATCTAAAGAGCAAACAAGAAGGGAATGTAATGGAGAGACAGGGAATATTAAGTTTCTTCTTCAGTCTGCTGCCAAATTAGCCTAAGATTCAGTGTTGGTGGGTCCAGTACTCAAAGGCTAGTGCCTATTTTCAAGGTTCATCAACGGGATAAAGTCAGACACACTAAGCTACAGCCTCAGATGCTTTTTTAAAATTTTCTAAACAAAATGTTCTTGATATATAATAATTGAATGTTTGAAAACCTTTAACTCTTTGTATCTTCATATTCCAACATCTCTGGTTATTGTTGCAAGTAACTGCTGATGTTCCACAGTTTACAAATCTATAAACTATAAAACACAAGTAGGTAAGTGTAGTTAAATAGTAGCATAAATGAATGTTTGGTTGTCACTGGGGGAAGCACTGTTGGAAGAGACAGACTTTCAAGGGACTCAATGAATATTTCAGGTACTATTAAAGCAAATAAGTTAAGGCAGAAGACACTAACGCATGATAGGGAAAAGCACTACAGTGCTCTTGAACTCTTCTTTCTGATTCTTTGGAGAGTCTTCCAGGGTAGAATGAAATAGTAATTTCTTATCAGAGATACTTTGTTAAAGCCTAATCTTTAAGAAATAAGGTTTGGGGTAGTGTTAGATGGATATCAGAGTCCACCGTGAAAGGGAGGATTTCCAATGTGGACGTTTGCTCAGGCGTTGAAAAGCCTTGGTGTTGATATTTGTGGTAAAGTGTGAGAAGCCTTTAGGAACCTTTCCTTCAGAAAGACTTAGAGCTGTAGCAGTAAAAAGATTTTTATTTACACACCTAATTAGGGCCTTGTTTGCAAAGCAGGGATTCTTTCCATCTTCGTTTTCTTTGATTGTCTTAAATCCATGGGAGCCGAGGTTGGCTAGTTCCTATACTGCCAATTTAAGTGTTTATTTATTTATTTTTTTGGTTATATATGAGTGGGGAAGGGCCAAAAAGGCATGCTTGAGGCTAAGAGCTTGAATTAGAAGTTTTCTCTATTATATTATCCACTCAAAATGAAGCTCAGGAAGATTCAACCGGTCTTAAAACAGGTAAATGTGCCTTTAAGTGTCATAAAATCAGATGCAGTTGGAATTCTCACTACCAACAGAGTTTCAGGAATTCCTACAGGAATTCATATAGTAATTTTAAATTGGTGTATCAGATTTCCAAGATTGCAATCTTGAATTAGGTGGCTAAATTGCCTGCATTTAAAATGTATTCAATTGTGTTTTTCACATTTTAAGAAGATAGGTTAATTCAATTACCCACATTTATATTACCAGAATCTATTTTTAAGCAGTTTTGCTGTTTCTGCAAAGCTTAGAGCACAAGCAAATTATCTGAATTTGTTTTCTTCCCTATAATTTTGATTTAGTAAAATACAGTTCTGTCCAATGAGAGTATCTTTAAGAAATCTTATTTACAGGAAGTATCTAAACTGAGTTGAATGTGTACAGAGTTATGGTTTGAGACTGCCTTTTACAGGCCATATTTATATATCTGTGGTTGAATATTCTGATGTCAATAGAAACATGCTAATCTAATTTCATCCTTGTTTACATTTTATACATAATTCAGTTTCTGGAAGATTAAGGGACATCATGAGTGAAAGCATTTCTAAGTGACATTTTCAGAGTTTTATCAATAGTCACAAAATTGGCTTCTTATAAATTAAAGC